CATCGGAATACACGGTTTCTGATAGGTTGAAATCTTAATATCTAATTCTTGTTCCTCTATTGTGCGCAAGCCTTTATGGATCTTTTTTCTCACTCAGTATGTACATGTAATATTAACTTGACCTTTGCTTCAGAGATTATTACTGCATTACGCATCATGAGAGATAGCAATTGCTATCTCTTATGATGCGTAATGCAGTAATAATCTCTAACGCAAAGGTCACGAGCAGTTGTCTGCAACAACTCGCGTTGACAGTGTCACTAATAGTGATTTTTATAATCCTATCAAACGTTTACAAGAAGTATAAAGACATTTTCAAGTTACATTTGCCATGGAATACTGGTTAATATTGTTATCGATAGTGATCGGTGTTGTCAGCATTGATTACCTCTTTAGAAGTTTTAATTTCTTCAAAAGACATGATATTTTACACATACCGCCTGTTTCGATCTTTGCAATCATAATATCATTTGTATTTCCTCCTCGGAAATCATTCGTTGACATCATCTTGGGGCTGTACAATTTTAATCCAAATGCAAAATATTATGGATTTTATGGCATTATAACTCCATTCTTCATACTTCGTGATCCGGAACTCATTAAAACTATTCTTGTTGAGAATTTCGAGGCATTTCCAGATCGTCCCGGTTCCGATTTAAATAATTCTCTGCTTGAGAAAAATTTATTTTCTCTTCGCGGAGAAAAATGGCGGAACGTGAGAAGTCTTTTGAGTCCCTCTTTTACGTCCAGCAAGATGAAAATGATGTTCACGTTGATGTCGGAATGTGCTGTAGATTTTGCTAAATTTCTGTCGACGTTGCCAACGGATAAATGCGATATGAACATGAAAGATACTTTCTCTAAATATACGAACGATGTCATTGCCACATGTGCTTTTGGAATCAAGGTCGATTCTATGAAGGATCCAACGAATAAATTTTATATTTACGGCAAAGAAGCGACTAACTTTATGCAGGATCACTTCATAAAGTTTATTTTTCTTAGAACATGTCCTAGTCTCGGACGAATTCTCAATGTAAAAATTATAAACGATTACGTATCGCATTTCTTCAAGGACATTGTAAAGACTACAATTGTTACTCGTGATGTGGAACACATTACACGTCCGGATATGCTACAGTTAATGATGGATATCAGAGGCAAAGAAGGTGATAGAAAATTAGATATTGATGACATGACTGCGCAAGCGTTTATCTTTTTCTTCGCTGGTTTTGAAACCAGTTCAACCGTGATGTCCTTCGTAGCTCACGAAATCGCAGCTAATCCAGAAGTTCAAATCAAATTACAACAAGAGATTGACAAGATTTTGAACGAATCGAACAAAGAAGTGTCTTACGAAGTCATTAATCAGCTTGAATATTTAGATGCGGTGATAAGCGAGGCGCTCAGATTATATCCACCAGTCTCCTTCTTAGAAAGAACGTGTAAAAAAACTTATGAATTACCACCCGCATTACCGGATGAGAAATCTGTTATCATACAGAAGGGTATGCCTGTTTGGATTCCGATTTTGGCAATCCATCGTGATAAAAAATACTTCGATGATCCAGAGAAATTTTATCCAGAAAGATTTTTAGATAATAAGCTTCATAATTCTTCATGTTATATGCCGTTTGGATTAGGACCAAGAATGTGCATAGCTAACAGATTTGCCATGCTGGAAGTCAAAGTCTTGTTGTTTCATTTATTAGCGCGATGTGAACTGAAACCTTGCCCAAAAACTGAGTCGCCAATAAAATTCAGGAAAAGTCTAGTGGCAATGATGCCGGAAAATGGATTCTGGTTGAATATTCAGCGTAGGAAAAATATGCATCCTTTGCTGGAGTCTGCATAGTGGATAACTAGTATTACAAAACATTTCAAATAGCAATAATGTGGCTATTTCAAGAAAATACATTTATAACAAAAATTATCTTTGTAACAAAAATTAATTACCACATATGTCTTTATGAATATACACATTATACTTATTATTATATGCAGCAATAATAAATTCAATTATAAATTGAAATTATTTATTCAATTAGAATTGAAATTATTTATTAGAAATAATTAGTGTTATTAAAATGTATAATTCAACGAAAATAATATCGGGACATATTGTAGCAATTACGATCTATTCAGGTTCAAACTTATACTTTCTTCTATACATATTCTATATCTACGAGTAATTTATTGATATACAGATTTTTATAGGAATAAAAAGAAGAAAACGATGACAATAAATATACAAGGTGTCCGACGTAACTGTGATCACGATTTTTCCGGCACTTCCGATGATCTGACAAAAATTAGTTTGAATAAAAGTTAATCAGTTTTCAATCGGCTACAAATTTCAATATTAAAAATTTGCAAAATACTCTTTTTTTAGGAAAAAAATCAAGGTCACCCTAATTTTTTTTAATGGCACTACATATTTTTTACTTCATAATATTGTAACTGATATCAAGACGAGTTCAATGACCTGCTATACTATGACCTTGAAATAACCTTCGTGGGATTAATAAACTGAAACGTTTTCGTGAAAAACTATTTTATTTGTGTTAAATTTTTTATATGGACTATTCTACAGTAGAAAAAGATTTTTGTATCTGCTTTTTTACAGACATTAATTCTTGTTTTTTAAATGAAACTACATACAAAACAAATTATCACCAAAAATCGTAGCATAACAAAAGAGTACAATAGAACACAAAATTATATAATAAATTTAATGAAATTACGTAATTACAATAAGTGTTCGAATTGTCTTGTAAGCACAATTCTGCACTACGTAATAAATTTCCATTAGTTGCTGCTATAATGCTGTCACGGCGAATTTCTTCACATGCTGTACGGATTCGCTGCTTTAAATGTTTCATATTTTGAATTGGTACCGCGTAGACTAATCGGGGGACCAAGGTGGCCAAATTTCTTCTAAATGTGCTAAGACCGTAAGAATATTGCCTGCAGTTGTAGTTAAATGCGGTTCGTTCCTTTTCTTCTTTTCAAATTCTCCATAATTTCTTAAATTCTTTTCAAGAATGGTTTTATATGGTTAGAAATGTTGTAATGTTTTTTTTATTTACACGTTTTACATTGTATTACGGTAAAAAATATATTTATGTATTTTATACATTTTATATTTATATATTATATTGAGTTATGGTTAAGCTATGATGTGTAGATAGTACATTATAAAGGAGAAGAATCGATACTGTGATATTTGGCGCTGTGATAGGTTAGTTTGAATTAGCACAGATCTTTAGAAATGAACAGAAAGTTAGGAATAAGATATTTGCGGTGTAGTGAAAATTGTAGATAGAGTTAGATAGTATTAGGGGCTCCGTACAATAAAAGAAAAAGGGGACAGAGAACAGAGAATAAGAATTTCAATCTATCAGAAATCATGTATTGTGGAATACACTGTTTCTGATAGGTTGAAATTTTTATTCTTTGTTCTCTGGTTCCTGTTCCTTTTATTGTGCGGAGCCCCTTAGGTTTTTTACACAGTATAGAAGGATGAGTGTGGTTAAGAATTTTAGTGTAAACCAAGTTCCTTAATTCTTGACAATTGTAAACTGAAGAAATAAAGTTCTATTCTATTTTATACTTTTCTCTCAGAGAGTGATCAAGCTTTCTGTAAGATGAAAAACATGACGTTAGCGCATGATACAATGTAAACAAATTATAAAATTATACTAGTAATACTTACAATTCTAATTTTCTGGTTCAGGATCCAGCTCATATGACTGAATGTCTAAGAGCCGCGCCAGACCAAGGTCTTTTTCATTCCATACATCCATGCGCTCCTTACGAAATAATCGCCGCTCCATGCGCATTTTACGTTTATGGGAGATGCTGAAAAAACCTTTTATCGCGGTGTCACCATTTTCATAACGCCCGACATGCTGAAAAGTGGATATCAATATATAAATACTATATATTTTCAGGGAATGGAAAGTTACTTTTTAAAAGTAACAAGTTACAGTTACTAGTTACCGATTTTTAAAAGTAACTCGTTACAGTTACCGTTATTTGAGAAAGTAACTTTTCGTTACTTTTCCGTTACTTTTTTTTAAATCGACGACCAACAATCATAGCGGACGAGCCTAGAG